GAGGCAGAGACGGGAAGAAGGGAGGGAAGGAGTAAGCAAAGGGAAGAAAGGAAGAAGCAAAGAAGGGAAGAAGAAAAGAAGAGAAGAAGAAAAGAAGAGCAGAAGAAAAGAAGGGAAGAAGAAAAGAAGGGAAGAAGAAAAGAAGGGAAGAAGGGAAGTGAAGAAAGGAAGGAATGCAAAGAGTCAAGACAGGGAGGAAGTAGAAAGGAGAAATGGAAAGCAGAAAGTAGAGCACAAGAGCAAGACAGGCAAGGAGAAAAGAAGGAATTAAGACATGAAGAGGAAGGCGGAAGAGGAAGGCAGGAAGGCAGGAAGGCAGGAAGGCAGGAAGGCAGGAAGGCAGGAAGGCAGGAAGGCAGGAAGGCAGGAAGGCAGGAAGGCAGGAAGACACTGTGGAAGGCCTGTGCGTAACCCCTTGCCATGGGGCATGAGGACAAAGGCAGGCGGGAGCCACTTGAATCGAAGGCGTGCCCTAGCAAAAGTAGCCTGTGTAAAGCGAGTGCCCTTTTTCAAATGAAGTATCGGAGCGCCTTATCTGAGTCCAATAAGCGCGAGCCATTCAAAAGAGATAATTGCAATCCCATACATAAACAACAAGCACGCGAACATACACATAATTGCTTCCAAGGGTATCGTTTTTTTGAGAGTCCCCTATCGTTTGCCATAGTTTTGTGCATTCTTGCAAAATCATCAGTGAAACGCCGAATACTAAATTCAACAGAAGTAAGTTTGACGGTGCCTCATATGTGTAAGTATATGTAAAGCCACTTCCTCTGTGCACCTGGGCTTTTTGATGACAAGAGGAGGATGTCTCGGCGTGGCTGGGTCTAAGTTAATATGATAGCCGCGCCTCTTCGCTTGCGGGTCACTCAAGTGCAGCAGCGCAGGGCTAGGCATCCCGAGCCGACGGATTTCTTCTCGACCGAGGCTTTATCGGCCATATACCAACCCCCCCAGCGGCCATAGCGAAAGAAGGGTAGTTGAATTTGAAGATGAAGCGGAACCCCCCTTTAGAAAAAAAAAAGAAGCAACAACCCACTGGGTGTCTGGGAATACATCAAATATATCACATGTTCAGATCCTTGCCATTACTTAGTCTACCTTCAAATACAAAGAAACATGTTGGAGACCCTAAACACTGGATGACTGGTGTGGGTGAATACGAAGACACACTCATTGAGTGTCGGAAAGTTGGACTTGTGGAGCATGAGTGTCATTTTTTAAGGGACCCGTTTTGCATGGATTTAAGGAGAAACCCAAAGGAACACCACCATTTTGTTTGGGGTAGGGTATTAAAAAATGGCAATCAACAAAATGCTCTTTGACGGTCATTCCACCATTTTGGAGGGTCCAACCTTAAACATGACATCCATAAGTCCCTGACGCGAGTCTACAAGTTGGCCCCAGGAAGGAGCCGGACAGTTGCCTCGTGGCTCTTATAGTCAAGGGACCCCGGAACAAAACTGGGCTGCCCTCAGATCCCCAGCAAAAAATCAACTTTTAGTGGGTTAAATGGAAACTACCACCAAACACTAAAAGGCCAAAAAGCCAAGGAGATGGCTGGGAGCCACCTAGAAAATAGAATCTCGCACCCAAGAAAGTTGCCCTTGGATTTTATGTAGCAAACCTAGAGGGGGATTCCTCATGGGTCCACCATTTTGAGCAACTTCATGAAGAAAGCAGCACAAACGCTGCATGAAGAGCAATGCGGGAAGTCTACCAACGTATGCACTCTCACGTAGCACCTCAGCACGTGGGTAATCCAACCCTGGCGGCGGATATCCAGACCTGTTCTTGGTTGGGTTGATCCACTTCCCTCTCCGCCCACCCCAAAAACGATCATATTTCGCACTCCCTGCGTAGTCATGTCAAAGCGGGGACCTTGAAACACGATTTGGTCTATTTCTTATGTTGGCCCACATCTTGAGAAATACACAGCAAATATAAGATCTAATAGATTCAGTGTCATAGGTCGTCGACCTTAAAATACAAAATTCCGGAGATCCCTGTTTTGATTGCTCACATCTGACCCCACACATCTTGGCGTCCGTCGACCCGGAGCCTGGTACGCCCCCGGAAAATGGTGCGGACGTCCATTTCGGGCAGACCGTGCCATGTGAGGCTGTCTCTGCCCTGACTCCGCCGAACTCGCTGCGCAAATTCTGACCGCGCGACCGCAGAAACACGCCGTGTGGCCCATGGTATTGCTGCGACTGGGCGGACTTGGACTGCTTCAAACGTGAGGTTCACCTCCCTTTCAACGAGATTTCAAGGCCCTTACATGGCTGCATGGGCGCCCCAGGAATGGGTATGCCTCATGGAGTATCGAGTATCCGTGCTGTTCCTGGGGCCTGACTTGTGAAGTAAAACAAATCTAACAAAAGTGTGTTGAATCAAGCCATGATGAATCAGCATGCATGCTATTTCCGGTACGTGTGGACTGCCTCAACAAAATCATAGCCCAGTGTCAACCAATGAGATCAAAGACTGGCTTACTTCCAAAGCAAACTACCTCTATATTTGTAAATCTAGTGCACAACCCAAGCTGCAGCAAACTGAATCTGGCAACCGAATGTGGGCAACTCAAAAGGCCTGCAGTCGCAGGAAGCCACACGTGAACGCGACAGGCACGCAACGTCGAGCAGTGCCCACTGCACTTGCACTCTCTCTCTCTCTCTCGCATCCTAACGCACGACAAACGCGCGCGTTTGCGTTGGGGCTGAGGTGCGCATGCGCAATGCCCGCCCCATGATGCTCCGTCTGGCACAACCAACGACGTCTGTGGAAGCATATTATGTGTGGGGCACGGCAAACAGTACACCTGCGGGCAGGCGCGGAGCAGCCATGGCCGGAGGTAAAACCAGGCCACAGGCCTCGGGAAGATAGGGCACAAGAGTCGAGCAACGGGCCACCTGCGGATATGAAGCAAGTGATCTCGCAGGCTCCTGGCAAGCTGTTGGGTCGCATGACAGGTTGATCTCGCGTGTACCTTTGATGTCATTCAACCATTCCAATGCAGAGAGTGTCTCAATTTCTGGTTCAGACCTAAATGTCAAAGCAAGGGAGCAAGTTGTTTTTTTCTACGCTGGACTTTTATATGTCCCCAGCGGAAAGCGACAGTGGTTCACTTGGCTCGGGGTACCAAACACCGTTCTTACTAAAATAAGTGGACAAAGGGCGGCACCTCTGTGAGACTTGGACCCCCAGTAAAAGCTGTTAACCCAGCCTTGGCCAACATCTGCATTATAAGGGGTACACAGAAAATAACACCTTCAGGTTCTGTTTCATATGTGGGCTACCTAAGAAAAGAACATGGTCTTGGAGACCCCGGCAATCGCCTTGTTGGATGTTCCAGAACCTGCAAAAAGTGTTGCTTTTGCGGCATCTCGGTGCCAGGTGGAAAACCAAAATCAAGATGCACGCCTACAGCCGCTTGTTAACCTGGACCTAAGAAAGGCCCGACTTGTTCTTTCTGTTTCTGACTAAACTGGGCTGCCCAATTTATGATCCCCCGCAAAAAGTTGAACTTTCAGTGGTTTAAATGCTACCACGAAGCAAAAAGCAAAGGGGATGGCTGGGAGCCACCAAGAAAAATGATTGGAATGAATCCGAAGTGACCGATCGTTTTTGGAGGGCCACTGCAACGCTCACTCACTGCGCCGCTTCAGTCCTCTCCGGATGGCGCGTGGGTCACTGATAGGCACGGAGATTGCCGAACTTTTGCTGACTGATGGTTGGTCGGAATGCCAATCTCCCTCAAATTCAGACTGTTTGCCAAATGTTAGATGGCAAGGATGAACGGATGAGCCTTCCAAAAAATGGGCCAGGACCTCAAAAAGGGCCTTCTTACATCATCTGTCATTTGCATAATCGATGCAAATCATCATGCATTGTCAATCACAGCTACTGACTGATCTGCTTGCTCTCAGGCAGCCTGTGTTGTAAGGTCACTCTGAGAGCTGTGTCCCTGTCAATTGGTTGAAATATCAGCAACCACACTTGTAACAGCACACCAACACAACCTTGAGGAAACCTATCAAACAGCCCAAAAAGTCAACCATACTTGAGCTGGAAAAACTGGAACAAAACGCGAGGAATCACAACAGGAACAAACAACTTCAAAGCAGTCAGTGGCCATGCATGAGATGGAAGATTACCCAAAACAAGACAAGGACACTCACCAAGACAAACAGAACGTCGGGAACGTCAGCAACCATGCTTGGAATGGTACAAAACAAAACAGAGCACATTTAAACAACATACTTTCGAAACAACAAAACACAACTCGAGGATATCAAGAAGAAACAAGGCTTCAAGCACATCTTTATGACGGGTTGGGTTCCTCGAGTTGTTCTTTGTTTGCTGGGTTGTTGGATTTCCTTGAGGATGTTTTTTGCCCTCCCAGGCATGGATGCTGACATGCGGATCTTGCAGTTGGGTTTGTTGGTATCAGGTTGTTGTTATGTCTGTGTTTATTTATTTAGTTATTTACGTATTGTGCTCCTGTCTCCCTCGAGGTTTAGGGTACTTTCCATGCTAGGCATGGTTGCCATCTTTGCCTCTTTGGGGCTTCGACGCCTAGGGCAACTCCGGATTGAGGACAGTGCTACGGGCTGGCTCCCTTTAAGGACATGCATTCAGTTGGGAGGCTCCTCTGAGTTCCTCTAAGCGTCCTGTGGATTCATCTGAAGTTTAGATCCGGGATTAGATTCTTCGACCCAGCAATCTCCCTGGCTCCGAAACTTCAGAAACCCATACGGAAGATACGACATGCAGGTATTGCAATGCATTCGGACGTCCAGGATGCTCCCTCCGTGCATGGCGAAACAGCGAACCCGAATCAACAATGTCTCGCGTCTGCTGCAGACCTGCATGTGACGGCATGTCAAAGCTTGATTCCCCCAAACGGTTGGCAAAAATATGTTACCTCTCTTTTGAAGGCATCACCCAACGTATCTTAGCTTTACTGCCAAAATTCTAAGGACTGAGCTGCCTTCGAGGGAGCATCCCCGAGATTCAAGCGGGTACTGGAGAGGCGCATCTAGCATTCAAAACAGAGGCTCAAGAAGGATTCGGCGAACCGTTGTGTGCAAAACGAGAAATAACAAATAAACCACATGCTCACCTGCGGCCACGTGTCCGCCCCCCGTAGCCACGAGGGGAGAGTGAACCTCAAAAATCTGAGGCATGAAGGCAACAGGCTTCGCCGATTCTCAGCGTGAGTGAATGCAAGACATCGCACCTTACTGGCAAGAATCTATATATTGACTTGGACACAGAAGTCCGTGTTCAACCCATGCAGTGGGCCAGTTACCCCGGGGAGGATCCTGTACCTATTCTTTGCCCTTTCGCGATTGCTTTTTTTGGTGGGGGAGGGTGTAGGCACCATGCGCAATGGGTTGATGAGCCCTCAGAAGCCCAGCAAAGGAAGAACACCATCTGGGCTGAGAGCCTTGCGCAGCTGCCAGACTGGCAGAGCGGCGGTTTTTACGCCCCGCGCACAATGCGTCGTAGGCGCTCGAAGGCATACCAAAGCCCATCCTCGGAAGGAAACCACTCTCTGCTCACGAATTGGGGTTTGGCTAGGGTAACCAAATCCCCGGGTACCTTAACTTGGTTGCTGTTGACGCCCCTGCAAAAAGTTTAACTTTTTGGGGGTTTAGTGGAAAACACCTTTATTTCCCAAAAAATTCAAGTCTAAAGATCCGACCCAATAGCAGTCAAGTTAATTAGTCCCAAAACAAGTCGAGTCTTCTTTTGGCTGAGTCGTATGATCAAAACCTCGGAGCAGGCCCACCGAAATTTTAAGCCATGGCCATCTTCAAACAGCCCCAAGCGAAAGAGATAAAGACAACTGGTACTTGTCTTGCCTTTATCCACACGGGCGCGCGCTTTCTCTTGATTATAGTCCCTCACTGGCTGAGTGGATGGCCAAAAAAAAGCCCAAACTGTTTGTTTACCACTAAAATGTTCTTCCCCCAAAGTTTAAAGTTCATGAACTCAGGAAGTGAGGTCCGCTGTCCAGTGGTTTGTCTTACCTTTTTCCAATGCAGATCTCAGGAGATCATCTGATCTCGTCTCCGATCCTTCCCAGGTTCACACATCTGGGCTACGTCATCCGCTTGGAGGGTTTCTGTTCTATGAGTTTGAAAAGAGGCTATCCTTAAGGTCTAATGGAAAAGCCAGGTGTATCCAACAAGTCTCCACGGGACCTTTGCCACATCGAAGACCACCATTTGATAAAATGGGATGCTTGGGTCTAACAGCCTCAACCCCCCAAAGCCGGCATAAAACCGGCTTTTGGGCCCCAGAAGAGCTCTACACCTCTTCAGAATTTGGCGCTAAAGTGGATTGGCCAAACAAAATCAGAACTTGCAGTCTGCCACTAAAATGGCATTCCCAACACCGGGACTGAGTCATTCCCTGCTTACCGGACCAGCAGGCTGAGGTCAAACTGTCAGCTTTGAATAGCTCTGGCCAACGACCTTCTTCAACTGAGCTGCTCGATCCATGTAGCAGCCTGCAAACAGGGACCCCAGAAAGCGTTCACTTCCATGGTTGGCCCCACTGTCTTCGAATCCTCTGGCGTGTTTGCCCCTGGCAAAAACAAACAAAAGTAGTGATAGGTTCCCTTTAACCCGACAGGGAACATAAACTTACTAATAAGGACATGGACTAAATGGCTGTCAAAATGCGCGCGATCTCGTGGCAACAATTACATACGTAAGGGTGGCTTTGAGACACATACCATCGCGGGCACATCAAAAAAGGAACTCTCTGTGATCCCGTGAAATGAACCGAATGTCACAACAGCGCTCGCTCGGCTTTCTGCTCACCGGAACCTCTCTGTAAAACGTTGCCCGCCCTTCATGGTTTTTGGGTCGCTGGGTTGGGGCTAAGGAATTCAAGTTTTTTCTAGCAGCCCCTATTAACTTTTATCAAGGCCTACTAGCAAAACTAGAACCCCAAAGGGTTAGACAAACTGTCAAGCTTTGCTGGCCAGGATTGAGGTGTTCCAAGAAGGTTGATGCGGAATCTTGAATATTTGCCTTTCGATCCAGGGCAACACGATCTGAGCACACGCTGAACACCACCGCGTTTTACGGCATGTTATGCCAAGAATAAGACCTGTTTTTGCAAACACGGTTCCGTTCTTAGCTTGGCTCAGTCCTTGCTTGATTAAGACCACATGGAGTTAGATAAGGACAAGAACAATACTCCCTTCGAAATTGAGCTGATTCCAGTTTTAACTGGCCATGACAATAGCCGTGTTCTCCAGCTGTATCGATTAAAGTTGAAATTGGTTGGAACTCGAAAGCGTTTTACATTGACAATATTGTTATTGACAAGGGCTGAATCAAAATAGTCAAGCACCGTGCAACTAAGATAGTTGCTTTGCAAATGCGACTTAAAGAAACTCAATGAGAATGTGTATGGAACTATGCGCAGAACATTGCAGTAACATGTAAATGCAACTGCGCAGGGGCGTCAGTTGCAAATAGGAATGAGTTCCTTGCCCCCAGTTGTTGATTTGCTGGTTGTGATTTTTGAGCTGGTGCCTCCAAAGTGCACTTTGCATACTCCAGCGTGACTTCCGAGTTGCTTAAATAGCAACTCCTTTTCAACGTTAAGCTTAACTTCCTAGGTCCTCCAGCAGAGAGGCTAGAATAAGGGTACCATCTTTTTTCTGTAGTCTATTTTAGCAGGGGACCCTCCCAAAGCACAAAAGGGTAAAAAGAAGGGCACCTAGCTGGAGGACCTAGCTTCTGCTTGGTGGGAATTTGCCATGGAGTTGCACGGCCTGTCAATTCAGTTCAGAGTCTCAAGGCATTTATCTGCCCCAGTCTGGCCAAACACCAGAGTTCTGGGCAAAACCCTGAGTATTTCAAGGGGGTGGTACATATATATATATATATGTATAGATCGATACATATGTTCATATATGCACATATAGACAATTACATATACATATATGTATATAGTTGTAGATATATGCAAAGAAAGCACAGCGGGTTTTCTGGCTGCAGCCATTCCCTGGAGAGCCCACTTCATGCACGGGCCGCCTTTGGCGCTCCGGCTCAATTTCCAGTTTCACGGAAGTTCCTGCTAAATTTCCTTTGACTATCTGGCATACAGATTAATTTGGACAAACGAACAAGCGGGGATATGGAGGAAGCGAAGATATGGGGGGTTTCCCTTGGCGCCATTTCCCACATCAAATTTGGTCAAGGCGCATCAAACGGGGGAATCCTCCCGTATCAACCTGGTTCCGCCGGTATCCCTGCTATTTGGTTTCCCTGAATTAAGGATTTATCTTGAACCCACCCCAGGCTGCGGCTCCGTATCCAAATGTTTAAATCAGTTGCGGTTCCGTGCTGCGCGGCTTTGATCATCTAAAACACATAAGGTCAACTTTGCTTTGAATGGGATGCCTCTGGCTGGTACGGCTCTCCTAACAAATGTGAAGTTAAGCTTAGTCATTTCTTATCTTCAGCCTCTGTTGCTCTTGACCGGAATCCAGAACTGACCACCAAGGACCAGCAAGAATATGTCGAATCACCAAAAGCGCTTTCGACATATTCTTACGGACTTCTCGAAACAAGAATCGGTCCCAACTGGAGTCCTTCCCTTTGGCATCATTTCAGCACAAGGAGTCCCCACTTCCACAAATTTGTGCGGGTCACCTCTCTCCCTTTTAGCGCTCAGGACTCCAGGACGTTTCTCGTTTGGCTATACGCCCTCTTGGGCTGTCCAGTGGCGAAAATCGGGGGAAGCCCCTCCGGAAACCCAAACCGCCTGAAGGAGTCCAAAGGCTCTGGACGAAACCTGCAGTTGAAATTAATGGTGTGCTTTGCCAGACATTGGGTTTCATCCTCAATGGGTCACTCCCCGATAGGACAAACCCCGACAGATTCAATGAGTGACGTGGATCGAGTGAGTCAGTGCCAACCGCCTCCCGCCCCGAAGTGAAAGGGAAGCCACAAGGATAACATTCAAGTTGCCTCAACGTTGGGTGCAAGTAGGCGCAAGTCTCTTTGTGTGGGTACTGGGCTGTCCTCAGATCCGCCTGGGGGCAAATGGACACCCACCCCACTGACCCTAAGAATCTGAACAGCTAAAGGGATGGCTGGGAAGCAACACCGGGATGAGAAATCGCGTGCTTCCACCCAACTGTAAGTCTACGTCCTCCAGTAGAGAGAGGGAAGAATAAGGGTATCATCTTTTTTTTCTGTAGTCTTTTTTAGCAAGGGAAGCCTCCTGCAAAAAGGGGTGAGAAAGGGGACCTAGAAGTCCCTCTCCCGGAAGCGAGAAACCCTTCTCGCGCCTTGCACCCAGCGTGCCGCATCGTTGGCCGGGATGTGGGATCGAGCGTGGAGGACACGGCGGTTGTCGAAGACCTGAGGCCCACAAATCACCAACTCTTGGTTGACGTTGGAAGGGGAGCAAACAAAAAATCGCAGTTCAGTGGTTGGATTTCAACCACTAAACTACAATAAGCCAAAATGTAAAACGTTTCCCAACAACAACCATGATTGCGTGCGTTTTTGTTGAGAGGAAACGGTGCCCCTGTTGCTTTCCCTTAAACCAACCCCAACAAGGGAACCCCTTCAAAAGAAAGGCCCATTTCTGTAATACCAAAGTGTGCTATCCTCACGGCAAGTTCAATTGCATTCCCTATCACAGAAAGTGGAACCAAATGTCCCCATGCTTGTGGCACAGGGTTGGGCACACTTGTGATTTCGGGACACCCCGCACAAGTGGCGATGGAGCAGAATCGGATCTTTAATTTGAACAAACGCGTGTTTCCGGGCAGCAACATAGCGAACCACGCTGGGGACGCTTGTGATCAGGGGCTTGCGAGCATGTTGCGATTGGAACGGAACCGTTGCATCACCAAATGGGTTCAACTTGTCAAGGTTGCTGGAAGGGCAGCGCTGCAGGACAAAATGGCTTGACCCGGAATCTTGCATTGGAACCGCTGTGTTTCACCAGTTGAACGCTCAGGGTGCTGGTCAACCAAGGCAAACCAAGACGCGTCCCTGGCAGAATGCTGAACAAGACGCACGCAAACAATAGTCATATCAAAAACAACATATCGCCCCCGACGAGTACCACGTGATCTTGCAAATAACCAATGCTCAAGAGTGCAGTTCTATCAAACTTGCACGCAAACAAAGAAAAAAAGGAAAAAACAGTTGCAGCCATAAAAACTGTCAGCGCCCAGGTCGGGCGCGCGCAAGCGTTTACAATGATGACTTTCTGTGGGCCGAGCAGTTGAGCCTTCCTTTTGCTCCTTTTGGTTTTGAAAGAAAAATGAGCTGCAATGTCCTGAAACAAACTGGATTGACACAGCCGCAAAGCCAAAAATAGGTCCAGGATCTCCGGAAGTGAGCACCACTTTCTCTCTTTCCCTTGGCACGGCACCAGGATGTCTCCGGGCTCGAACTGCATGGTCAGGGCATGCCTCGGTTCACGACATGGAACAGGGCCTCGTCAATTCCGATGGAGATGGGGTGGAAGTTGTGTCTTTTTCTCAAGGTTCGGCGCGGCTTCTTTAGGTTCAGCGGGGCGTTCCCGATCCAAAAAAGCTGCAGAGGGTTCATTTTTTCAATCAAGCACAATGGAGTGGGAGGGCCAATAAAGGTCAATTCTGTTTGTTTACGCTTAATTAAAATGGTCCAACCCTAAAAGAAGTTCGACCAGAAAAAGTCCAGGAACTGTTTACGCTTCAAGTGGCCCAACCATAAAAGTATAAAGTCCATAAAGTCAGGGAGTGAGGGCCTCTAAGGGAACATGGCCTTTAGCGAGGCCTTGAGTTCTGCTTTTGGATGGGTACTTGCTCGCGCACAAAGGGGACTCCCTCAGTGGGTTTATGTATTCTGGCTACCCTCAGATCCCCCGCTAAAAGTTCAACTTTTATTGGTTTAAATGGAAACTACCGCTAAACACAAAAAGGCAAAAAAGCTAAGGGGATGGCTGGGAGCCACAAAGTTTCTAGCGGAGCTTGCTCGCATGTCCAAAAATCGCCAGGCTGCACCAGTGGCTGCCCCATGGCCACCAAAACAACCCAGACTCAGCTAGACTGTGGGGTTTGCCGGACGAAGGCGGGGCTTCGCGCGAAAGGCAACCGCTTCAGCCAACAAGCAACACCACACTCAAATTGGAAGTCCAGAACAAGAAACAATGCACATTGGTATTTGGGGCTGAACGTGCAAAGCCTTCTTCGGCAACCAAATGGTGTTGCTACTGCGGATGTACGAACTCCTGCACCAACTAAGAAACCCTCAAATGATAATTTCGCTGGAAATACCAAGAAACGTCATGGTTTCAACCATGGTGTCATTTCGTGTTGCAAATGGATTTTTGCAACCATCCGCAGTATCGCCCCTCTCCTTGTTTTCAAGAGATTGAGGGCTCATTTCCGGGTTCCGACTAGCCTGCGCAAGTGCAAAGGCGTCCCCGACTGGCCAAGGCTCTTCGGGCCGAGCTGTTAAATCGCGTCCCGGCTGGCTTTTTCTGATATTGCCAAAGCGCATCCCGCCTTGTTCTGGTTTCAACAATGGGACCCCCACTCCCAAGTTTCAGAGATCAAAGCTGTGTCACTCCGGGAAGCCCGGAGGCCTACGCAGGCGTTCCCCATCATAAATAACTGCAAAACGATTCCTCCCACCCCCCACGTCTCCACCCCCCACCGGAAAAGAAAACCAAACAAACAAAAATTGCAAAAGCATTCCTACCACCCCCCCTTCCCCCCCCCCTCCCCCCCCCCACACAAAAACGGAAGGTGCCACTGCCAGGCTCTTTTTGTCTTTGGCTTTCGCCAGGTCGCTCCGGCTGATGCGCCAACTCGGAGAAACGACGGCGAGCCTGGCCGGTGCCGGGCTCGCTGTGATTGCGAGCCGTGCGGGGTCCCCGTGTTTTCTATGGGTACCCTTTTCTAGCAGGGAACGAGGGAACGATCCTGGTAAACCATCCAACTGGTGGTTTCCTCTAAGGGAATCCCTGGGTTCATTCCCGCATTCCCTACCTGAGCACCAGCAAGTTTGGTGTTTCGCAAGGGAAACCAACAGGAAACCCGAAGCCATGTTGGGCTCCCTAAAAAAAAGACGAGCCATGTGCGCTGGCAGCTGAACTACGTCACTGACCTCCAGGATCCGAGAAGCGAAGAACTACTGATGCATGGAACAAGTATCTCAGGTGCAGCTGCTTGAGGGCTCCCCTGGGCTCCCCTTCCTCTCCTCTCCCAGCCCCGATGAAAGTTGTCTTGGCAGAATGGACTTTTCCAAGCGACATGAATAGGTAGATGTTGGAGTGTGCGGTCGAGGCAGAACTCTGTTTCCTTCGGAGGTGTTCCTAGGTCTTCCATTAGAGAGGATAGAATAAGGGTACCCAATTTTTCTGTAGTCTATTTTAGTAGGGGAACCCTCCTCCGAAAAATAGGGAGAGAAGGGCACTACTGGGGGACCTAGGTTCCGTCGCAGGTCATGGCGGAAAACTCCGAGTTTTCGCATTTCCTGTGCGCCGACCACCCGAGCTGAGCAACTCGTCGTCTTTTCTGTAAGCCCTCACCACTATGGCCATCGTTTTCTTGGTTTTGCTGCCGACCAGCAAAAATATATCCGTCACTGTCCAAGCATGGGGCCCCAAATCGGGGCTATTGGAATAACCTTTTGTGCACCTCACAGGCGGAAATCCATAGGTTGTAGTTGCAAGTCGGGGTGTCTTTTGCTTTACTGACCCCCCAAAGTGGCTCCGGTTTTCCTGTTGGCGTCCTTGAAACACCACAAACAAGCAATCAAGGGGCACCCTGAAAAAAGACAGACTCAGGTGCCTGAGCCGGAGACACACAGCTCTGCATGATCAGAATCAGATCCAGACCCAATACATGCCATCTCAAAGTTGCCTTGCGAAACGAACACGAACCATCCCTTAGAAATCTGCCAAATTAGATCTGAATCGCCCAACCCGGGTATATAAAGCAAACATAAAATCGATTTGTCAGTTGGTCAACCTTACCCAGTGCTTCCCAGTTGCCACTATGTGCAACAGTCATTCTCCTCTTGGTTGCAAGTGTGGTTCCCTTGAATTCCTACTCAGTGAAATGGACTCACTGGTTAAACACAATCCAAAAGCAACGTGGATATTTCAGAAAGGACCAATCTGGCTTTGGTTCCTCGCTTAAGACACACACACACAGACATCATTTGGGCCCATCTGGTAGAAACCTGATCAATGTCCCAACAGGTGATTCACAATCCCGGGCTGTCCGTTTTCTGATGCCTTGTGCTAGAACCCGCCTAAAATGCTGGTTTTCCTTTTGGCTTCCCTTTAAAACCAAAAAACAAGGTCCCCCCCAAATATGTATATATGTATATGGTTTCCTTTTGGCCTCCCTTTAAACCACTAAAAACCAGGTACTGCCGCGCAAGAAAAACAATATAATGGTGGTTGTCCTTTTGGCTTCACTTTAAAACCACCAAAAACAAGGTACCCTCGAACCAAGACACACTCCCATGTGGCTCTGGTTTCGACTGCAACGGTGCCTGATAAAACTTGGCCGCCATTTCTGGGCTCAATGCCGGTGCATACCTGACTGTTCGCGGGCCCCAAGTCTCATGGGAAATTCACGTCAACAGGGGAAAACGTGTCCCCCAAATGGGCCCGTGTCAAATATAACACTTCTCAGGTCCGACCAGGAGATTCCTTGGAAAAGCAATGAGAGATGTTGGGGTTCCATGCAATGCGCGCCGATAAACAACAATCAAGACCAGATCATACACCTCTTCTCACTGCTTGTGGATGCGAACTATGTGCTAGCAGGCCCAGAGAAATTTACTGAGGGTTGAACCGGGTCAAAGTACCTCTCTTTCAAAGCTGCTCGGACTGCTAGCCATACTTGATGACCATCCTTGCGAACATGTTTGTCTTATTCTTGGAGGCAGACCCTCCGCTGGCAGACACGCAGAGTCTCATCAAAATGAAGGACCAACCAAGCCACCTGCCTTCACTTGCCTTCACTTGCCTTCACTTGCCTTCAGCCGTGCGCAGTGCAGTGAGCACTCGTCCAAATTGGCCTTCCTTTGATAAGGGGCTTAGGTCTATAATGATACTGGGGGTTGTCGGGTACTATGAAACCAACTCAATCCGTCATAGGATGAAGGTCATGGGGTTACCCAATCAAATATAGCTCACTTGTTCCTTGACTTGATTTCACGCGGCTTCTACCCTATACGTACCCCTTAAAACTCCAAGCCCTGGGGAAGTTAATCTCTTACAGACATATAGCCCATGTTACCCCCAAGAAGTTGAAAAGTTGTGTTTTTTAAGAGGTAAGTATATGAAGCAAACACTGTACATTTGTCCGGCCCAGCAGTGCTCTAAGCCATGCAATTTGCTTGTCACAGCCTCCGCTGCTGCGACAAACTGCACACGCTTCTTCCAAGAGGCTGCCCGCTCTTTGCGGAGAAGCGGACCGCCTGCGCAAAAGGCCGCTATTACAAAAGAAGGAACAAATAGTCTGGGCTGTTCAAGATCCTCAATGCTGCACCATCCCGAGAGGGCCACAAACGAAACCATCTGTAATCGAAAACGACGTGCCGCGGTATCTCGTATTCCTTGTCGCTTGTCTATTCCGAACCTGCTCTCGGACCAAGCAACGCGAAAGCGCTCATTCGCGAAATCGCGAATGAGACCCGTCAGACATGAGTAAAACGAAGCGCTTCCATCTAAGTGCCGGGTTTCAACCCTGCCCCTTCAACAGAAACACACTGATTATGTGCTGAAGGCAACACCGTCGAAAAGAAGAGACAAAATAACACATCCCACAAAGAGAAACAAATACAAGAACACATCACACAGATAGATAGATGTGGCTTGAGCCAGTCTTTTTAAGTACACATTCCTGCCCCTACACATGGTTGATTTACCACCATCGGCCTTTCGTGGCCTCCTTTGGCAAAGATGTTTGCTCGCATGATCCACCATTTGCTTTCATGTTGCGCAAGGACAATCTGAACTCGTGACCTGCCCGGGCCAAAAGCCAACGAAAGAAGGGGAACACCTCGCCCGCTTCATCTGACCTCCTATCGCACGGCAAAGAGACGAAAGGAATCCTACAACTTTGTGCGTTTCACGTTCCACGGAAGCAGCTGGATGCATCTATGTTCCCACCCCTGTCCCTCCTAGGTCCTCCAGTAGAGAGGTTAGAATAAGGGTACCCTTTTTTTTGGTACTCTATTTTAGTAGGGGACCCCTCGCCCAAAAAGATCAAAAAAGAGTTAAACAAAAAAGCACTACTGGGGGACCTAGCCTCTGACGGGACCAAAATTGGGGAGGGAGTAGCCGCCTTGCCTTTTTGAAACCCGACCCAGCGGCTTCAGGAAATAAACGGCACTCCCTTCTTGGTAGTTCACCCAGATGCCTAGTGGATTTCCATGGGAAAAAAAGGTATCCCTTCTTAGTTGGTTGACTTTAAAGGGGAAACACATCCCCCCCCCCAAAAAAAAAGGCACCACTACGCAACTGGGTTCACTATTCAAGGGACACCCCCTCCAGAAAGAAAAACAAAAAAAACGCACCACTCGAGGTCTGGGTTACGGCGCCTTGCGAACAAATACTGTTGAGTAACCATAGGGCTAATGCCAACATCTGCTCATGGATCTGACATCCCGGCTCGTCTACGTGACCAAACAGCCCCTCTACGACTTCCTGGCGACATATTGGACACTTCAGGTACATCGGTACATCCCAAGGAAATAAAATTACGTCTCAGCTCAGGCCTGAATTTCTTTCTTGTCGTGGGACAGCCTGGGAGGAAGATCGGTGACCGGCTTGCTTATTAATTCGCAATTTATGTATCCCTGCCGATGATTACCTCAGCTCTAGAAAAACCAACAAACATACGACTGTGGTCCTATCTTCCTCTCAAAGAATCTGGAAATAAAAGGTTAACCTTTTGGGACAACTGAGTACTCGTTGCTAATGTGCTCAAGGCGGCCTTCGCGCCTGAAACGATATCCTAACTTGGGACCTGAAAATGACAAGGGCATCCTCCTCGCAAACGTGGAGCCTGATAGGCTCAAGACAGGTCTCTGAAGGAATGGGTTCCCTGAGAGTGGAACCTTTTGGCGGGGCCAACGTTTGTTTGGGCCGCCAGTCTTCCGACATCGAACAAGAAGCCAAAACAAAGCCCATTTTTGGGAACCTCTCCCCCGAAGGCCCTAAGGGGCCAAGAACCCTTTGAACATGTGCCTTGGCCCCTTCTTAGCCCTTAAGTACATCCTCTGAAGCTACTTGGACCCTCTGGAAACCATTGCTCTAACTGTTAAACAGCTGTGCGGCTATTGCCAGCTTCGATGATGGCCATTGCTTCTGCTGATGCATCGGGTTGCCAGACAAACGACTATCGGTTGCTGTTGACCACTCTGCAATACAAAACATCCGAGCTGTTTCAACCCAAAAGTGAACGTTTCTACCTTGTTGTGGAACCATTTTGGAACATCTGAGCTGACTCAACCAGAAAGTGAAATTCCCGCAAGTTTCTAATGAGGAACATCCGAGCTGTGACGTACAGTCAGTCAGACGGAACCAATCAAGCCAAAATCTTGTCAAAGGAGCGTAGAAAGAACCTCCCTGCTAATTCAGCTGTAGTTTGTCTCCTCTGTAATACGTGAACGTGACAAGTGGAATGATGAAATCGGAAGGCGTGGGGAAATGGCCAGAGTAGTTTAAAAGGGTGGCCCTGCACGGGAATCCCGTAAGTGCGAACGCCAGCTCAGACAGAACAGCACGGGCACATTGGCACGGCGGGCGTGCCTAAAGTTTCGCCAGCCATCAATCAGTGAACACTGTGCGGATGTTTCAGGGTCGCTGGATCTCCCCTTCAAAAGTTCATCAACTTGTTGGTGTCCATTGAAACGATCGCCACTCTTGGAGGTGTTCCAAAAAGGGAAATGGCTCGGAACCAGGGCTGTGGGAAATGACCACTGTGATACAACAAAAAGGGCTTCCCAAAGACTAACCCCCCATATAAAGGGGGAGATTCCAACTTGTATCACAGAAGTGGGGAAAAATGCCGAGTGATCCCACAACCCTGCTCGGAACCCTTCCTTTTTCTTCTCGTTCGCTTTGCCCTCCGAAGCTTCTGACTGGCCACCCTCAAAGCTCAGCGTGGGTTTGCGCTTGTCACTTTCGTAGGGTGAAGAGAAAGAAAGAAAGAAAGAAAGAAAGAAAGAAAGAAAGAAAGAAATAAAGAAAGAAATAAAGAAAGAAAGAAAGAGACAGAGAGAAAGAGATAAACACAAAGACAAAGACGGAGGAACAAAGAAACAAAGGAAGAAGAGATAACCATAAATACAATAGCAAACAAAACACCACATATATACTCATAGACAAAGAACAACAGGGAAAAGAAGCGCGCTCCAAACTATGGCATGCTTGGAAGTGTCGGCTTCCCGTTCCTGCCGGACTTTTCTGACTTCTGACTTGACCAAAAAAAACGTGGGTAGAAGTGATGGACACCTTGCCCCTTGTAGGGGTCTCTCAATTACCCTTTAAACATGTGGCCACGTGGGGACTTCAACCCTCAAACAAGTGAAGTGTAAAACCGCAAGGCAGTCCTCAGACCCCCTGCTAAGAGCTTAGCTTCTTGCTTTTTTGCGGGTCGAAAAACAAAAACTCAGGAGCCGCTTTTTGCGGGTTTCAATGGAAACCCAACCGCTAAACCAGCTAAAAAACAACGAAAAAGCCAAAAACCAGGCACCGGAGGGCTGGGAAATTTTGCCAGCTGCTGCGAAGCTGAGTTTTCCCTCCAATGGAACCTCACCGGCGGCTTCATGAACCCGCCACCGAAGACGTCTCTCCGATCCCGTGCGATCTCGAGCGCCAGGGGGCTCGAGGTGTGGAAACATGGTCACCAGGGCGGAGGTTCCGTCCCCCCCGTTGTTCTCAAAGCGTACCTCGCTCGAACCAGCCAGTGAAGAAGGGTCGGATCTGGGCTCGCTGTGTTTCTCAGCTCAGCTTCCTGAGTGGCCCAAACATGAATGTTGAGCTTTTGATTTGCCACGAAATTGGTGTTCCCAAAAAGTAGAAGGTTCAGGAACTCAGGAAGTGAGGCTGGGGAAAACCCAAAAGACAACCAACGATTTCGGGATCCCCCATGCATAGCCTTAAAAATCCGTGGCTGTACCAACCAAGCACAGGGGTCTTTTGACCCTTGTAACTTGTAACTGTCATTTGGTTGGTCTGCCTTCCCATTAAGCCGATCCCACGTTGGGTACCTGTAAACAAACGCACACTCGAATACGGGCAGCTTGAGGCCCCTTTGTTGCCCTTTACCACTCCGTCGATGTGCGGACAACACATGACAAGAGGTGGGGTGAAAAAGTGACTCGTCAAAACCACCCTCTTAGCCTTAATGTCAACTTCGGATTGATGTGGGAGACCCCACTAATCAGGGTTGATTCCCCTTTTATTAAGGAAAATCACTATTTTAGCGAATTCCTCTAGTAGCGCCCTCCAAATTAATGTGAAGTTGACATTGAGGAGTGAATGATTTGTCACATCAAACGAAGGCCGTTAACCGACAATCTGCAAGTAACCTAACTCTGAAGGTATCCACAGGTGTGTCCTATGCTCGAGTTTACGACCACACACAAAGGAAGCACTGCTTCACCGAACCTCAAATCTGATGAAAATGAGCAATGAAAAACCGACCAAGGAGTTCTCAATTCGAGGTTGTGCTTTGCATCATGATCGGACTGAAACCCAGGTTCCCTTCGGAGCTCCAACTCTTGTGAGGTACATTCCGCCCATGGACCAAAACCATGCTCAGATATTCCGGTCCAAATTCAGCCCAATTTGTGGTAAACACAGGGAGAAACATGTCCAGAGTGTCTGGTCCAAAGTCAGCCTATCCTAAAGTAAAACATGAATTTAGTACTTAGACTACCCCAACATCCAAAACAGATTTGGAGGAGACCCCAGATTATCATCTGACCGTTCCCCAGCTCTCTCAATGCCTCTCCCAAAGACGAGGGGCCGGGATGCTGCCTCAGAGAAGCAGATGTTTGGATCCTCCCATGGTGTTTCTCCCAAGAGGGATCCCAAAATGGGCTGTTCCGTTTAAATCCTTTGAAACCACCAAGAAAACCATCCACCACTTGGTTGGTTTGCAAGGACAAAAGGAACCCAACCATTTGTGAAACACGCCTGTTCTGACACCCGGACACCCTGGAACCCGGTAGTCAACAGGTTTGCCCCTACGACTTGGCGCCCAGCCAAGGAAAACAACCACTAAGTTTGCCACCGAGCGCTCAACGGACAGGCTGCCAAGGCGGTCTTCTGGTCGCTATGCCACGAATAGAATGTTCTGGGGGTTGATTGCAATACAACCAAGCTAAACCAGTTCGAACCATCGATTTCTATCCAAACTACCTATCATTCTACTGGTTGGATTCCGTTTCATTCTTTTCAACCATCCTTTCTTTTCCAAAAACCGGCTGTTTCCTCTGGGATTTTGATGGTTCTCTGCAAAGGAGGATCCCTAGAAAGAATGGAAATGGAAGGTACCCCTCGAAATGCGTGCATTTTATCATTGCGCTGACTTCGGCCAAGGCGGGTTCAATGTCCTACCGGAGTTACTCACCATATGGGGACCGCAAAATGCTTCCTTTAGACCAAGCGGAAAAGGGTACCAAGCCTCAACACGCACACCCACACACACATGGGACTACGGGTCTTCCTCAAAAACGGTATGCTCACCAAAACACATCCATATGTTCAAATCCTGAACCACCGACTTTTGAAAGACATGGGATGAATTGCATAGCCCAATGTGACCCACGGTCAAGACTCCTTGGTCACGGTTCCCCTAAGAACCCCTATCGTTGTCTACAATCCATCCAAGGTCTATGACTAGGTCCTCCAGTAGAGAGGTTAGAATAAGGGCACCAACTTTTTCCTGTAGTCGATTTTAGTAAGGGAACCCTCCCCAAAAAAAGTAACGGTAAAAGGGCACCTAGCCGGGGGACCTAGATGACCATCCCTACCAACGCCAGGGGTACCGCGTACCGCCTCTTTGAGAGTGAAAGCCATGCTGTTCTGGTCTTCAGATCCCTGGAGAATGCCAATGCCCCAGGTTCCCTTGAAGGAAACCATAGGCTATGGCTTATATTTGGGTTTGTAGGGGTCATTCCCTCATTTTGTCTGCTGAGAACCAGCAAGCTGCTGCTCCTTTCGGCAGAAACCTGGGGCACTCTTCACTCTCTAAATCGGCGATGGCTTTTTTCGAAGTAGGGGTCAGTCCCTCATTCCCTGAGGACCGGCAACTGCTCCTTGTGGCAGAGACCTGGGGCAGTTCCTACATTTCACAGAACAGAGCACACACATGCCAGTGGGGTTTCCAGTGGCTCAAATGGAATCACAGCTTGAGGCTTGCTACAAAGGAATACGTAAAGAACATGCAATGCAATGCACCGGAGAGATAAGACGAGCCGTGCCAAAGGCCCCAAAGAATCTGAGCCGAAAGCGGGACGTTCACTGAAGAACTTGGTTTCATGTGGGTGTGGGTCAATATTAAATCGCCAGAGGACCGCGGACTTTAGCCCATGTTTCCATTTGCCATCCATTTTGGGTACCTATTTTTGACCCACAGCCAGGTTGGTCTTCTCAAATGGATCAACAAGGATTCCAACACGCATCTTGCAAATTTGCAAAATGCAAAGCGAGCAGGCGTTGCACATGACGCCAAGGGATTCCATCGATGGCCACTGGTGGAACAATACCTAGGTCCTCCAGTAGAGAGGACAAGGGTACCCCTTTTTCTGTTGTCTATTTAGTAGGGGAACCCTCCCAAAAAAAAATGGGTAAAAGGGCACTACCGGGGGACCTAGAATACTGCCAAAAAACGGGGCCGTCCATGTTCAATCAAGCCGAACAGAACACCCCTGGCCCTACCTTAGCCCTGAAAGCACCAGCCTTCTGAACCTTAATGGCGAACCCCTGGCAAACGATTGGACCAAAATCCGCATCTATATAAATGATGTCCACCAAAGGGGCCCCCATTAAATTCACACCCACCTCTGACCAAAGAGGTTGTCAAATGCCCGGATCTCATTGGGGCATGTCTGACCTAAGCATATTGCCTTGGCGCTTGCGGCGCCAAGCAGGAAAGCCAAAAGGACACCTATGGAGTACAAGCTAAACATTGCAAGTCGGGGGGCAAACACACCATGCTCCATGAGTTTCCTACTGTTTACCACAGCATCTGTGACTGGCTCCCAAACGTTCAAAGGATATCCATTGAAATGAGCAGGGTTGGGCCAACCCTATTTGGGTTTGTCTTTTTGAAGGTACCCGTTGTTTGGTGATATTGAAGGGAAACCAAAAGGAATACCACAATTTTGGGGGGTCCCCCAACAACAAAGGCGCACCAATCTGAACATGTCTCAAAACCTTTGACACCACCTCCCTTTGGTTTCCCTTTCAAGGGGACCGGGGAATAGCTATTTTCATGCTCCCGCCCTTTGCCCCCATCCAGCTCGTGTTGCTCAGCAAATCATAGCTCTCTTGGCTCTCATTCCGCAGAAGCTCGGCAATGTAGAAACCGTCCACGATATAATTGAGGACCTCGATCTGATGGATGCATGTCCTTTTGATGTCCTTCGAAACCAGCCCCAACAAGGGTAGTCTCAAAACACACACCCACAAACAAAAACCGGCTGCCAATTCGCCAATGGCCATGCAAAGGAGACCTCCCGCGACAAACCACGAATTCCTCGGTACCCTCCCAACAGGCCTGTGGCATTCACTCGCGCCAAACAAACAAATCCTAACTCAGTTGCTTTCTGCTCCCCTGCTAAAAGTTTAACTTTTAGTGGTTTAGTGGAAAACCCATTGGTTGGCAAAAAGTTAAAGTCCTAACAGCCAAGCAAAATGCGCCAAAGCCAACCGACAATGCTTGAGATGGAGCCCCTGTGGCGCCAGGGAGCCTGTTCTTCTTTTTGGTTTTCACTTGAACCCACCCAGAAGGGGTAGCAACTCCAAACGAGACCTAACCTTGATTCAAGAGCTGCTCACAAAGACCGGGATATGCACAGGAATTTTCTTGGCCAGGCCGATTCGACCAAAGCCAAACTAAAACTAAACCTATGCAACTAGGTCCTCCAGTAGAGAGGATAGAATAAGGGCACCAACTTTTTTCTGTAGTCGATTTTAGTAGGGGAACCCTCCCCCAAAAGGGTAAAAGGGCACCTAGCCGGGGGACCTAGAAGCCGAAAGACCGCTTTCCTCCACCAGATACCTGTGTGCATTGCCCCCGAAACTCGCTTGTCCCTGGCAACGACAGAAACACGAACGCCAGGATCACATGTTCGAACACAGCCGTGGCCAACAAAACCTTTCTGTGACTTGACAGGAGATCCCCTTGGTATCACCGAAAGCGACACATGAAAAGACATGTTCGACAACCAGGCTTTCGCAAGTCCCAATTCCCGCAAGAGCAACAGCAGTTGACGTGTCAGTTGAGCCATAATCAAAACCTGGTGCAACAATGGTGAACCCAGAAAAAAAAAGAGTAAAGAAGTAGAAAGGCGGCTTCCCGCAACTATTTCCGTCTGGGACTGCCCCTTACTATCCGGATCATCCACCCGACTCGGTTTTTGCGCACGTGGCTCAGTTGACGTGCCAGTTGGAGCCGACTTGGCCGAGCGGCTGAGCATCCGTCACATGGCGCCTGCGGAAAGTCGCTGCCCGAAGCAGCAAACCCATTGGATTGGATTGGCACATCATGACCCATGGGTCCAACACTCACCTGGACCTGAGAATGAACATGGGTGCCAAAAAAATATATCAAACATCCGCAGAGGAGTGTCCGCAGAGCCAAGGGGTTCTTTGTGGGGACTGTTACTTTAAGGAACAATATGTGAGCAACGACGTATCCTTCCCCACAACTCACAAACAAGCAGGCAAGCAGGCAGACAGGCAGGCAAGCAGGCAAGCAAGCAGGCAGGCAAGCTGGCAGGCAAGCTGGCAGGCAAGCAGGCAAGGCAAGCAGGCTGGCAGGCTGGCAAGCCAAAAAGCAAACAAACACACACACACAGACACACACACACACACACTCACAGACACAGACACAGACACAGACACAGACACAGACACAGACACAGAAACACACACACACACACAAGGGCGTACAAAGTCTACGAACGCAGCTTGAACCCACGCCCAAAAGTCACACCAAATCCTGGCATTTCAGAGGTCTACCCAAAACTAAAGTAAGGAACCGAAAGCTTTTCCTGCTGCACCAACTTTGCGCAACTGGGGAGAAGGGGACTAACAAATGTCAGTTACACTTCCGGACCTTCCCGCCATTTTCGGTGGGGGGGCCGTTCGCGGCTTCTCAGGTTTGTCTTGCTCAAAGGGCCGAAAAAAACGACCCATGCCCGTGCAAGGTGTGGCTTCCCAAGTAAATTATCTTCAACCGGTATGGAAAACCAGCGGGAGAACGTCTCTCTAAAAAAAACATATCGAAAAACAGCCCCCGGGAAATCTGTTGTCCAAAAGATCTAAGGGGTTAAGGTTCCACCAAAGACCAGCCAACTGCAAAGAAAAAAGTCACACACCAGGTCACTAGGTCTGCCTGGCCTTGCCGTTGCAACTGCAGTGTTCGAGGGCATGCAAAAGCTGGAAGTCCTCAGGAGCCGCACTGACCGAGCAGGTCTGTCTAAGGAAACTGGGCGCATGGCTTTGAACAACACAGCCAAGTCACAGCGTACAGTTCCAAAGCCAGAAAAAGGGCCCGAGAAACTTGATCATGGGGGTTTGCTCGCTTCACTCTCGTATCGGTGATCTCGTTATAACTCTCGTGGACACAGAGGCATGTCCAGCTGCTGGTCACAAGCGTTCAGAATGCTTATGAGATTAAAAGCATGGTCTCAAACACAATGCTGCATAAATGCTTAAGCATTCAGCCTTGTCTATCCGTGCTGAATGATTTCATGTGAGACTAGCACAAGGCTAATAAATATGAATTCGACAGTGAAACCCTGGAACAACCAGCTCCTCTTGATTGGGAGGTGCCATCCCCAAGTGAAGTGTGTCTCCCGACCAGCCTGGACCCCTCCTATTTATCAACTACGTGTATATGATTTATATTCCCGCCCACCGACTAACATGGAAGTGCACGCACCCCTGCGGAACGACTACTTTCCACTTGGAAGGGGGGGTTGCTTGCATGTTAGTTGGTGGGAGGGTAACTAGTCCTCTAGTCCGGGCTGTTCATGATTCCCCTTGCAACGAACACGCCACTCGAGTCGCCACCTGAACACACACCATGGGTTGTGAAGGTGAGCCAAACTGCTTATTGTGACGCACCCGGCCTACACTCAAGCGAACAAACACGTTTGGGTACACACATGGGCATGAATTCGGATCACCATCCATTTGGGGAGGGTTCGCTACTCAAATTCATGCCCACATGTAAATTGGCTCTAATGCGCTGACCTGGATGAGTGGCTCCCACACATGGCGCGAGTGTCTCATGTGCAGAGAAGAAAAAATGGCAGCGCCCGACTAGCATCATGACGCTCGTGTTTTTGGAGCCCATGATATTGTTACGGCAACTTTACACAACTGGTCGACATGAACTAACGTCCAGCTTCCAGGCTGCAAGCCTCGAAACGCATTGTGCCATCTCGTGTCCGTTCATTTCTGGGCAGAGTTATGGCTTTATTGTGTGCTGAAAACTTGAAGAAAGCCAATCTGTGGAATCCACACGGCATCTGCAATATAGCACTCATTCCAAAGTCTGACAAAACAAACAGCAAAAAAACACTAACCACGCAGAAAATGGCAAGTTTTCGTTTATCCTCAGGAAATTGACCATGTGTTGTCCAAGCATGCGTGCCCCGGGCTTTCTCAGGGCACCTGTTGAGTTCGGGGGCTACCGGGGTCCGGTCGCTTGCACGTTGGTATATAGGACCTCATTTCCGATCGAGTGGTTTGGCCAATACGAGTCCATTTTGGTAGCTTACCAGTAGAATAGTCCAAACCCAAAAAGTCCACTAACTGGGCTATTCCACGCGTCATTCAGATTCCCTTTACTCTTTGTGATTATATTTATTGGTGCAGACCAGCTGACCAGCTACGAATCTGCAGCTTTTACAATACTTCCAAAACCTGCTGCAATATTTCCCCAAGTAAAGGACCGTTCCATGGCTTTCGCCCCCGAATCGGTGGAACCGCTCGCCACAAAGTAGATGCAGAACCATCACCACATCACTTCGATGCCAACGAGGGCGCAGGGGTGGGATCTCGGTAGGGGTTGTCGGTGTGGAGGCCAATCGCCTTGCCCGTGTACGCCAGATCTTGCCTCGGGCGCTGAAGACTTGTCACCAAAAAAACACATGGACCCCCTCCCCCCCAAAACATATATATATATATATAATACTAATGATGATAATAATAATAACAGTAATCATAATGATAATACTGAAAATAATCACACACCCCCCCCCAAAAAAAAATGCTGAGAAAATATCTTGGAACACGCATCTTTTTTTGGCTCCCGGCTCATGTTTGCAAAACACCAGACAGTTAAGACGTCAAGAAGCCTCATGCTTGTTGAGCATACCACATCCCTGCCATGAAGATTCGCTTCATAGCGGGCTTTGTATGGAACCCCAAGCAAACTCATGTTGCGATTTGCAGAAAATGAGTCCAGGTGGTATCCGGAACTGTGAAGGAATCCCTCCTTTTGAACCCTCCCCCAAAGCTGCCCCAAACCAACCCAGAGCTTATTTGGGCAGAGACCCAAAGCTTTCAGCGGTTGGGGAGAAACTGTTTTTGGGTCCCATGTGGGTGTATCTTCTTTGGAGGGTACTCGTTTTTGGATTGGCTTCAGGGGGAATTGAAAGGCTCCCCAATTTGAGACAAACCCATGTGAGTCATAATCAAAACATGGTATTCAAATACGTAGTCTACCCAGAACCATGTAAAGAAGTCACAAGGCGGCTGCAGCCATTTGTGGCCGGCCCCCTGACCAATCTTCATTTACCCGGGTTGTGAGCAAGTGGCACATGTCATTGTTCAAACCTTGCCCATCCTTGAAGAGGGGAAGTGATCTTCCAAACTTGGACCACGTCTGGCGCACACAGAAGCCATAGTTTCAGTCCCTCTTTCATAGGTAGCGCACCCTGAAACCAAACGTTTTTGTTGGCACTTCATCTTAAAGTCTAACTTGCCCAAAGAACCTGGGAATAAAAGGTTAACCTTTTGGGACCTCTACTAAAAATGGACCAAAAAAGGAAAACCAAAAGGTCAAAAGGTCGTCTTTGAACAACTGAGAAGTGTAAAAAAGAGGTCTCGGAGGTCTATTGGCCGCCCCTGATCAATGAATCGGGGGTCAACAAATCCTGATGTGCAATTTTCTGGTCGTGGAACCCGAGCGAGCTTTTGTTTGGCAACGGTTTTTCACACGAGGCCGGGAAAGTTTGGCGTGGAGATCTCCCAGAATGGAATCCCCACGTTCTGGTGGGGCGGTTCACGAAAAACGTCACCAGCACCCAGTTCACTGTGTGGTCCCTTTTCTCATCTGCTAGAAGTCAACTTAACTCGGAGACCCAAGCACCTTCCAACGAACAACTCAAAACCCACCGGACGCCTCGGATCCGAAACCCAAGTTCAGGCAAACGGGTTTCCAAACGGGGTCCGAACGAGAACATTCGTAGACAAATTTGGGCCGGGGGGTCGCTGGCTTCCAACAATGTCTTGAAGAACCACCACAACTGGACCAAACAAATCTGAAAAACCCCACCCCCAAAAACCAAACGTTTTCTTTTTTGGGGGCCGCCCGTCCGCATTTCGATCCATGTCGTCCAGCTCCCTTTGGACCATCGCAGCTTTGCGGCTTCGCAGTTTTGCCAGCGGTGTCTGGAGTCCTGGGAGCAATCCGATCGCGCGCTCCGAGTTTCTTCGGCTTCGGCTCGGGGCCCGGGGTTCCGTTTTTTCGTGCTGTTCTGGCGCCCCTGGAAAACGTTCTTCTTTTTTGAAGGGAAGTCCAAAGGAAAAGAACGGCATTGGTGTGACATCTACTTTCACACGTGCCCAAACAAGTTCAGGCTTCACAAGAACAAGTAGTTAATTACAGCGTGACACCTGTGTGAGGAGAAAACACACACACAAACAAAAATAAAGGAACAATGCATTTCATTTGGAAGACAGAATTGTAACATATGTTGCGTACAAATGATTCAAATCACGCACTGCCTCAGAAAAGAAACAACTGCACATACACATGTCATGTCTATAACCTGACACAATGGGCGGTCCCCCACGAATCCCCTTCTTGTGGTATTGCTAGGTGACGTGCACTCACTCTCCTCAAAGTGACCCAAAATGATAGGTTTGTCTTTTGATGCAAAGCCAAAAAGTTAAACGGTCGGCATAGGGCAAACAAGTACGTATGATGAATCAGTCTGCTCAGGAAAACAAACAAGGCAAGGACATGTGGAGGGGCCACAGGCCATATAAATCCAGATGGACAATAATCTTTGTCCACGAAAAGAACGCGGTAAAGTTCGCTGGGCTGTCCACTGGTTTGTGTGGCTAAAATTTGGATGGCCCTTCTTCTCATCCTCATGTCCCTCCAAGACTACTAATCCAAGATCAGTAAATTGCGTCAGTTGCTCGCACGCGCCACGGTCAACACTCCTTTTGTGGACCATGGTAAATGGTGATGGCTCCATTGTCTAAATCTCCTATTAAAGAGTTGATGACCAGCGCCGCCCCTCCATGTACCTGACAAGCCGCAAAGACAAAACAAGTTGATGACCATCCTTTCCAACGCCAAGCAAAAAATGGACATTTGACCATGGTTCATATCAGTGTTTCTCAAAAGAAGAGACACCTCCAGGAGGTCCGTGTTATTTGGGTTTCCCCAAAATAAACACTGAAACAAAAAAGAAACCGAATTGCCAAAGGGGCCCCATGTTCCAAAAAAAACATAGGCCGTGGCAAGACTTTCCAACGGTACACCGGCCGAGTTGCACGCGCACGTTGAAGAAGGGGCCCCAGTCGGTGGTGCGCAAAGTGCTCATGTTCTTCGCGAAGGCGGTCACGATGCCGTGCTCCTCCGAAATCGAATCAACGACTCCACAAGCGAGCGAGCGCGAGCGAGCGCTTTCTTGCCCATTTCGGAAGCCTGCCAGAAATTCCACAGATCCCTGCTGGCGTGTTTTTAGAGGCTCGAAAAACAAAAACATGTCCGGGTTGGCTTGAAAGGACAACACATGGAAATCACCAATGTTGTGGGTCCCGCAATCTTGACACATACCGTCCCCCGATGTTGACGTACGAACCTAAATGGGACTCGACTCGCTTTGCTTTGCCGACAATGTGGTCTCAAGCAAATCGCCGGCGAAGCAAATCTCTGGACAAAGTCTCCTCCCAGTGGACAAAAAACCCACAAGCTAAGGGCGAGGACTGCAAGATTTTTAGGGGTGTGGCAGGCAGGACGCAAAATGGACAAAATCTCCAGCCCGTTTCAGCTTCTTGGGCAAGGAATTGAAATTTGTGGGCCGTTTAGCACCCAGAAACTAATGTGGAGAAGGGCAGTCACAATTTAAGCGGATCATTCAGCAACTTCCAACCCCTGCCAAATGAACCACAGACAGCAGATCTGGACTGAGCTTCATGTGAGCGGAATGACTCGTTTGCCCTTCAGCCCTGCTACGCGTCGCCCCGATAGACCAGCAAATTTGTCAGGCAGAGAAGCTCCTGGAACCATCACACCAAACGACACTCCTTCGAACTTGGCCCAACATGCAGTGTTTAGATCACCCAAACCGAAAATACAAGGCCTGCCCGCCAAAAGGAGATCATCATGCGTTCTCCCCAGCTTGCTGTAGCCGGTGGCCGGTAGCAGATGGATCGCCATGTGATTGACCGAACTCGATGTGTTTTGCTTGTTTGAACCTATACATGTCCATCAATGGTCAGTAAGGCTTATGTAGGCCTTGCCTTGAACCCAACAAATCAGGTAGTAGAGCCACCCACAGGGCCTTTCGTTTTTGCGTGCGCTTCTGTGAAACTGGCTGAAGACAACAGGGCTCCCTATATTTCCCTTGGAAACATCACCCCACCAAGAGGAAACTCGTCTCAAAGTGGCAACCAAAAGGTGACCCTTAAAAGGGCTGAAAAGAGACCATATATATATATATATGTCTGTCTGTGTTTGTCATGGTAATCTTCTTGGGATGGTTGAAAGGGAAACCAAAAGGAAAACACCCATTTTGTGGGTTGCCCTAGTTTGACACCCTATGTTCCAGGTTCGTCCTCCCCTTACTTCAATGACCCCTGCAAAGAAAAATACAAAACAAGCTGGTCCGTGGCAATACGACGTGCCTGGGACGCTAAAGGGATGAGACGGGACATATATTCATATAGGGGCCCTTGAAAAACAAGAGCGAATCTTGAAAAACCATACATAGGTGCTGCTTTTTGCTGACCATTTGTTGGGCTTGGTTCAAAAGGGGCACCAAAAGGAAACCACACCCATGCTTGGGGCACCCTCCAAAAAAGACACACAGGTCAAAAGCCCTGTGGGGAGGCAGCATCTGTCAGAAACATGTCCTTTTCAAGGGACTCCTGGCAGGTGCCGGTAGAGGGTATATACTTAAAGGGGCACCTGGTACATTAGGTAAGTGGTGATTGCAAGTGCGCCAAGTATCCTGGTTGTAAGTCCCAGTGGGTTATCTCACCAGGCTTACCAACCACTTACTAAAGTACCCGGACAATTGAACACCTACATGTGTCATAATGAAAACCCGGTATCAAAATGGTCGTAGTCCCAGAACCATGCTTCAAGAATTAAGAAGGCACACATCCGCAGCTATGTATGGCAAGGGGATTGTCCCTTACTAACCGGATCATATACCCGGGTTTTGATTGTGGCTCATGTGGTCAACAGGTCCTTTAATGTCCCATGAGCATGAAGTAACATTAGGGAAACCATCATAAAACATGACCATCAACCCACTAAATGGTTCAAGACAAAGAAGAAAGCACACCCAAAATACCCGCTCACCCACTAAATGGTTCAAGAGAACAAACAAAAAAAGGCCCAAAATACACCGGGGTTTTTCGCTTTTGAGCACGTGGCTCACCCGGCTCCTTGGGGATCTTCTTCACCAGCGCCACCCCTTTCGTGAGCAACATCTCCGTGAGGTTCAAGCGCACCTCCTCCGATCCGAGCGTCCGGCCCTTGGGACTTCCTCCAGAAGGCGCCCGCAGTCACGCGATGTCTGGAGGGGGTCTCCTCAGAACATATTCTATGGTTGAGGTGGGGGTGTGTCTTTTTTTTTAGGGTACTCTCCCAAACAAATGGGCGGGTTCCTGGTTCCCTTTGAAAACCACATTGTTGACCCAATATGAATCAACCCCTGTTTATTTGGCGCGTGTCCCTGAATTTAGTGGGAAATCATCAGAAACGTGAATCAACGCCTGTTTGTTGATAGGGGGGTGTTCCTGATTTTAGTGGGAAAACATGACTTTTGGAGGGGACCACTCCCACACTCCATACTAACAACGGTCAACAGTACTGGGGTCTCCTCAGAACCTATTCTATAGTTGAGGTTGGCTGATTATGGGTGTGTCATCTTTTAAGAGCACTCTCCCAAAACAAATGGGTGGTGTCCTTGTGGTTTGCCTTAAAAAAACAACGCATGAGGTTGTGGGCTTGTCTTTTTCTTGGGTGGTTTCCATATGGTTTCCCCTAAACACAAAAAAAAGGAGGGACCCCCGAAAAGGACACACCCATCTGCATCTTGTCCCTTTTTGCTTGGCACGAAGGGAGTTCTTTGCGGGAAACAAGTGACCTTTGGGCTATCGGGCCATTTGACAGGGCCTGGTTGAAGAGGTTTTGTTTCATGGGTGGAAAGGGTCGAGAGGAAAATATTGACGTCAAACCCTAAGGATCCTCACAAGGTGAACAAGGCACAGAAGGTTAAGCTGAACTTAGAAGAGCATCAAACAAAAGAAGAGGAAGAAGGCATTTGAGCAAGTGATAACACCCGATAAAGCTTAGAGATTGGCCTTGACACCAACGCAACCCCCAGCCCCAAGTCACCATGTCGGTTCGTTTAAACCCTACCTCGTTGGTGATGATGTCGTGATGGTTGTAGCTGGTGAGCTGCAGGTCTGCGAGATAAAAAAAGAGATCCATGCCCATGCCAAGCGGAAAAGGAATTTTGGTGATCCATTGAAAGGGTTCCTGACTTACCAGGTTTTTGGAGTTGATACTTGTTGGGTCTGGACCATTTCGTCAAAAACACCTCTGGTTTTGCCAAGCCACGGAAGTGAAGCTCTATCAGATGGATGCTACACGCGTCATGCTTAGGTTCCCCTAAACCTGAGAGGTGTTTTTGGTGAGCGAGTCAACCCCCACAATCGTGGAAGTTGACAAGTGACAAGAGGGTTTTGGGAAGACTAGTAGGTCCTCCAGTAGAGAGGTTAGAATAAGGGTACCCGATTTTTTTTCTGCTTTGTCTGTTTTAGTAGGGGAACCCTCCCCCAAGAAAGTTGGTAAAAGGGCACCTAGCTGGGGACCTAGACTACTTTCCTTTAACGGACGCCCCATGTCCACTTGCAGGGTTTTCGTGAGAGGGTAGCACCGATTTTGTTGAACAGCCTACCTTCTCGCAAGACAAAAAGACGACTGGTTGGCCTTGGCCCGACCTTAGCCGACCAAAAACAACACGGCGCTGCTTTTGGCGCGTTCAAGGCCGCAGAAAAAGCCATTGGAGACAACTGGCTGGAGTCGAACTTCTGCCAGTTGTTTCACTTGGGTCAAACAAAATTGGGCTTCACAAAAGTCGAATCTGCGGAACTGTCCTGTCAGAAACCCTTGGGTCGAGCAAACGACATGCTCAAGTCTCGGTTGCTAATGTTGACCCAGGATTAATAAACCCGTCCCATATTAGGGGGGTGTTCCCTCCAAAAGTGGTCTGAATCCCACTAAAGGGGGACACCCCCCTATTAATCAACCAGGGGTTTATTAATCCGGGGTCAGCATTACCCCGGTTTCAACAGGACTTGTCGAGACAAGGCATCTCCCAAAAGGGAAAAATTGGCCCACGACAAGCCGAAACGTGTCTTGCAGGCAATCCCCAAAACTCTGAGAATGGGTAACCTACTTGTACCCAAATATACGAGAGTGCTCCACATCATGCCCATAGACTTGAAAGTGAGACACTGCAAGCATAGAATATATAATATTATACACATGTCATTATTGTTTTACCTACATATAATACAATGATATATATATATATATGTATGTATGTATGTATGTGTATATGTATATATATATTGGTGGTTGTTCTAAATTCCTTTGTCTCGAAACGGCCATTCTTCGCGAATAAAAAAGTTACTTTCGCGAATCTTTCGCGGATTCATCGCCGTGCCGTTTTCATTGCTCAAGTCAGAAAATCGCAGCTTTTAAGTGCCAGCGTAGTGCGCGAAATGCGATTCCCCAACTCCAGCTGTGAAGTCGCAACTTTTCATCACAGGGGTGACATGACATGAACCGGGTGGAAAGTCGCAGCTTTTCGTAAGCCGTGCAGCTCTAGCTTGAAGTCGCAAGTTTCCAGTACCAAGCTAGTATACTGACAAGCGCGACGCTCAGAAAGTACCTTTCCTTGCAATCGACGCCTCCGCTTTCGCGCGGGCTTTCGCGGATCTCTCGCGGAACTTTCGCGAAAGTCACCCACGTTTCAGAGCGGAAAGCCACCAACTAAACACCCACAGACGCACATACGCAGGCTTGGAACACTAACCAGCCAAGCAGGGTATCAAACTGTAGCCTCACCTGGCTTTATCACTTTATCAGTGCAAAGTCAACAAAGTGTTTTAATCAGCTTAGAAGGAAGGCTCAGCAGCAAAGATAAATGGTTTCACATATCATTGATTTACAAGATACAGTTACGAAAAACTTTCGCGAGGAAAAAAGTTACTTTCGCACTCCATCGCGAATCTTTCGCGGAGCTACCTCAAGAAACACCGATGGCCGCCGAATTCTAAACTCCTTACAAGGACCTTTAGAACATATATATATATATATTATGTATCACTCTATAAAACGCATGGTTTCCTCCAGCTACTGTAATAGTGATAGCTGGAAGGGGTCCCCAAGAACTAGCCCAGCTTTAGTTTGTGCTCAGAGTCTTTGGAGGAGGCACACGTACGGGGGTACTCTGTCGACCGAAAACCGATGAGGCAACGGTCCGGCAACTTGCTGTTGAAAAACAGGACCTTGACAAAGCTCTTATCAGGATCCTATTCGTAAAATATCAGTTGGAAGTTTCTCAAAACTGTGGATCTGGTTCAGCCCCAACTGTCGGTACGGGCACCAAACGGAAACCAATCATTTTAGGGGAAGTCAACTCCTCCGCCAGCCAATGCGGAACATCTGGGCGTGTGTCATTTCTTGACGGTACCCCCTTTTTTGGATGGTTTCAGAGATAACAAACCACAAGGACAACCCAACCATTTTGTGAAGCCTGTGACATGGCTATGGGTTCTTTCTTGACGGTACCCCCTTTTTTGATGGTTTCACCGAGATGGTTTGACCACCACAAGGACAACCCAACGATTTCGTCAAGGTGACATGCCATGCGCACGGCTTGCTCTTTCTCCGCGCCTCCAGACCAGAGGCTGGGCCGGGGACGCTCATATTGCGCTGGTTGAATGGGATTGCTCCTTGCGCGACACTGGCGCAGCACTTGGATATGTGTCCTTTGGTGCAATAAAGTCAAGCTAAGCCAGTTGGAACCATCGATTTCTAACCAAACTCACCTACAGTTCTGGGGGTTGATTCCCCATTATTTTTAACCATCGTTCTTTTCAAAAACCGATCGCCGTTTCCCCAGAGGGATGTTGGCGGTTTGCTAGAAAGAAGGATCCCTGGAAAGAATGGGAAAGGTACCCCTAGAAAAATGGACACCCTACCCTATGCCTTTGGGACCAGTTGGCATTCCCCCCCACAAACGTCACGTTGGGATTTCAACGACCAGACTCATCAGCCAGGGCTCCTCTTCTTTTTAGCAAAATACCAGGTTCACAGTACTCTAGGGGTAACTTCCCTTTCCATTCCTTCCAGGGATCCTTGATCGGTTGTTGAAAAGAACGATGGTGGAAAAGAATGGAAACGGTGACAGCAAAATGCCGCGTTAGCATCTTGTTTTGCTACGCATCCATGATAGCTCAAGGCCTGTTACGGCAGCGGGTGAACATATACAACCCAAGAGTCACAAGGGTTCTGGCTTGACTCGCACAGTCCCCAAAAATTCTTTACACCCGCTGCTTTAGGCGATTCTCGCCCTGTCTGCCGCGGTTCAACACTGTGGCCTCCTCCTCAATCACGAAACAATTGCTTTTCAGCAACTTCATCATCGGCTCCATGTGAGCCTTGAGTTTCGTAAGGGCATCCGCAGGATTGAAATTGTGCGGGACCCATCTCATCCGTCCTGAGAGTTTTGCTATGCTCTCCTGGATGATCCCGATCTCCAGTGCAGAGCGATCATCATCTCCTTGCGCTTGTTCCGAAGCTGAAGCATCATACAAGCTTTTGGCATCTGCCACAGCAACAGTAAGCGGATCTGTGAAGGTCACGCTTTCTGATGCTATGACCGTGCCTGGTCCGCGAAGCCCCATCTGCACCTCCTCTGACACCTCCACCGCTGTCTCCCGAGGGTCATACTTGGATTTGCAGAAGCTTCGCCACACCGCAACCTGTTTTTCCATCGCCCCCAATGCCGTTGAAAGCGCTATGGATTCGCAAAGAAGCGTGTTACCTGCCTTTCGGCGAAGTCGCCTCGATTTCCAGCTCATCAAGCTTACCGGGGCCACCTCTCCACGATTCAGCTGCGGCGTTGTAATTGCCTGAATCCATCCATGCTGTGGCTTGACCTTGCCTGTTGGGTCATAGGAGGCGTCCGAGATCACCAAGTGGCGAACCTGTTCTTCCGGGATGTGGTGCACCTTCAGCACGACGTGGTGGTTCTTCAAGTGGTCCACCACCTGATTTGTCTCCAAGACGTGTTGCATCAGCGGCTTCTCGAAGCAACCGGAGAGGATGCTTGCTGCTGCCGAGACGTCAGGACGTCCCTCACGTGCTATCCAATTGATGGCTGCCACCACTCCACGCAACTGGTTGATCTCGTCCTCCTTCAAGCTTGTGGTTGATGCGTCCTTCTTCAGGTATTTGCGCTCAACCCGGACATACTTCAACCTATTCTTGATGTAGTCCGCCATGGTGTATTGAAACGAACCATCCGGACCTTGCATGATCCTTCGTCCAGCATAGCCTGTGCCTTCTGGGTGTTCTCGAAGGTTGATGATCTTGCCGAACCGCAACTTCTTCTCCAACCAGGCCATCTTGTTCCGATGACGCTCATTGCCGGACTCCAAAATGTCATCCACCTCCACCACGATGATTCCTTCTGTTGGGTGCCCAGGGATGCCCGACTCATTGTCCAGCGTAAGAACGCACCTGTCATAGGCGTTCACCCTGTAGCCCAACTCCTTGACCAACACCTCCAGAAACGTCCTCCTCCACCATGCGGGGCCTGAAACCAACCCGTAAACTTCTGTATTTAACAACAGCATCTGTCTCGGATCCAAGCCCGGCAACGGTTCGTCGGAGGGCTGCTTGACTGCGAGTTTCTCTTTTCTCGTTGTTGGTTTGGATTGCAGAAATGCCGTTTTGGCATCCTTGACGAACGCGCTCCACTGTCGTCCTGCAGTCAGCGCCATGAAAAGATACATGCTTGACGTCATCGGGGTGGGTGCTGAGCGTTCGATCTGATGCACCATCGGGTCTTTCCAACCCACCACGCACCATCGAGACTTGGGAGCCACCGAGGTCGTTTGTCCCGAACCCGCATCTGCAGCGTTGAAGTCCTCGGGCAAAACTGCGAAGTCCTCGGTCGGCTTCCATCTGTCCACGAACCTGGACGTGAGCACGTGTTCAGGATGGGCCTGTGCGAATGCAATGCTTTCCTCTCGACCGACAGCACCGTAATGGCACCGCTGTCGACCAGTGACTTGAACTCCTTGGCTCTGGCCTGCCGGAAGACCTGTTTCTCGTTGCCCTGCAGCTTCGAGAACTCCACCTGCCCAGGCGATTCCTTCGCTTTGGTCAGGTAGAAGCGCTTGTCCTTGTTGCTGAAGAGACACACCGAGTCTTCCAGCTTGAAGGCTTGCGATGACCTTGCCTTCATGAACCAGGTGCCACGGATTCTGTCTTCACACCACCTCGCGCCATCCTGGACCTCCGTTTCCTGATCGTAGACCTCGAAGAGGGTCGTGTTGGATCTTGCTGTAGGCCATGGTTGGCTCTCCACATTGGAAAACGGGTACGGCATGGGCCTCTCGGAACTTTGGCGTACTGGTCCGAAAGACATCTCGCCACCTCGTCCTTCGTCTACTTGAACAGATACTCGGCGGCTGGACAGCCGGCTAGCATCGTTGATCGCCGTAGAGGAAGATTCCGAGGGTGCTGCCGTGCTCTCTGCTTCCAATGCTGGTAATTCGTGAGGTTGTGGTTGTGCATGAGGCTGTGCTGGTTGAGCTTGAGGCTGATCCACCTCCATGTTGCTTTGCTGATCGTCGTTTCCACCATCGTTGCCGCCGAAGAGGTCCGCGATGTCCTCATCGACTTCTTCTCTCACCGGAGGCAACCTTTGTCCCCGTGGGCGTACTTGTACCTGAACTTCTTCTTGCTGATCTCGTTCCCTGGCGAATGCTGTGGCTTCCTCCTCCAGGTCGCGATAGTGTCTGATGTTCCCAGACTCCAGGCCCTCCAACATCTCGGCACTGAGAACCTTGATCAGCTCCACGCCGAGGCTCTCCTCTGATGTTGCATGCCTGAGGTGCTCCTTGGACACTTTGAGAAGGTATCCTCGAAGAGACACCCACAGCGAACGGTTGTTCTCGCTGATCGCCACCACAACTCCAGGTCCAGACCAACCTCGAAAGTTGTTGTTCTCCCGCCACACGGGCCGCCACACGTAGACTGTGTCATTGGGCTTGAAGTCCTTGAGGTCTGTCATGCGCGTGTTGGCTTTGTCTGCTCGTCGGACAGCGTTGTTGTCCTGGGACCTCATCCATGCCTTGGCTGCCGCATCTCGTATCTCCCGAGCTCTTGCCATGGTGTCTTCTTGGTCCAGGTGCAACTCGCGGTCCAGGTAGTCGTCTGAGAGCAGTGCTGCTGGAAGTCTAGGGCTGTATCCAAACACCCGTTGATATGGGCTGAACCCTGACCGATCGTAGTAACGATTCCTCGCCACCTGCGTAGATGCTACCGCCATTTGCAGCTCCTCCTCGGTCTGTATGGTCAGCTCGTGAATCACCGTTTCCAGCGTACTCTTGAATGAGCCACCAAAGCGTTCCACGCGCCCATTTTGCCAAGGACTTGCCACGTCCGTGTAATGAACAATGACACCCAGGTCAGTGAGGGTGTCGGCGAACTTGCTTCCGACGAACTCACCACCTTGATCACATATCAGCATTCTCGGAGCCCCATAGTGAGCGAACCACGTTCTCAGCAGGGCCGCGGTGACTTGCTCCGACGTCTTGTCGTTGATCATCTCCACGATCTGCAGACTCGTGCCGAGACAAACCACGTTCAAGAAGACCCGATCCTTGATGAAGAAGAGGTCGATGCCGATGCACTCGTTGAAACCCATGGCTCTCGCCAAATGACCGGGGCGTTGTGAGCCAGGCTTCTTCCGTCTTTCGCACAACGGGCACTTGAAATACTTCTTCACCCAGGCCAGGATCTCCTGTTTCGCACCTGCGTGACGTAGTCCACGCACGAATGTGGATAGGTCTGGATGACCCAGATTCCTGTGAACTCGATACAGTTCACGCCTCAACTCTGGATGTAGTTGATCGTCTCCTTCTTGGTCTCCTCGTCCGAGTTCCTCTGGTAGAACTCGCGAGCGTAGTTCCTGATCTACTCTCTGTTCATCTCCGCGTTCATGGCCTTCTTCTTTTGGGATGCGTCTAGCTCTGCCGTCTGAATGAGCCGACGGCACCGCTCTGTCGAAAAGCTTCCGAGTGGGATATATGGCACACCACTCAGACTGAAAAGCACCTTCCGCCGTCACATACTCCTGTATGGGGTGTGCAGCGGCTGCTGAAATCCATGTTGCCCGGCTCTGGTAATCGGCGGGCATCATCACCTCATTGATGAGATCGAAAGCCGTAGTCCCTGTCCACCGTTGGGCGGCGGAACTCGTCGTAGTGCTCGTGTGAAAGCGCCAGTCATCCACTGACTGTTTGGTGCTTCCATCCTCGTAGGTCTTGGTCGTAGTCCGTTTCCCAGTGAACTTCTCCACGGGGAAGTCAAATTCCTCGCACTCTTCAAGAGTGCAAAGCTGTTGCCGAGGTTGGAAATGTCGGCAAATGAGCTGATTGTGTCGAACTTCCCAGCGATCCTTGAGCTCGACCACTGGAAAGTGGGAAGCCCTAATGTGCTTCCTCAGGGCCTTGAGGATCTCGTCCACGAAGGGTTGTGGGTACACTGCTGCATTGTTGGCTCGTCGATCTCCCACCAAGAGTTGATGTTCTTCATGATGCCCCTGACATCTCCGATTCAGGGCGCTGGCTATCTCCGGGATGTTCGTGATGATGAGGGTCGGCTTCTTGGCTGGCATCATCCTTGTTCTCGAGGAGTCAGGAGTCTGGAGTCCAAA